GGATCTTAGCTGAAACAAGAGAACACAAGAAAGATGTTTACCTGTGTTTCATTGACTATGTGAAGGAATTCAATTGTGTGGATCATAACAAATTATGGATAAAATTGAAAAGAATGAGAATTTCAGAAAACTTAATTATGCCCATGCAAAACCTGCACATGGATCAAGAGGAGGTTTTTCCAACAGAATGAGGAGATACTGTGTGGTTTAAGATTAGAAAAGATGTGTAGCAGGATTATATACTTTCATTTTATTTAATCTATATGCTGAACAAATAATCTGAGAAGCTGGGCTATATGAAAAAGAATGTGGCATCAGGATTGGAGGAAGACTCATTAACAACCTGAGATGTGCAGAGGACACAACCTTGTTTGCCATAAGGGAAGACAACTGGAAGCACTTACTGATGAAGGTAAAAGAATACAGCATTCAGTATGTATTATATCTGAACACTAAAAAAAAAAAAAAAAAAAAAAAAAAAAATCCTTACAACTGGACCAATAAACACCAATGATAAACGAAAAGAAATTGAAGTTGTCAAGGATTGCATTCTTCTTGGATCAACAATCAATGCCCATGGAAGCGGCAGTAAAGAAATTGAAAGATATACTGCATTGGACAAAACTTCTGTAAAAGATTTCTTTAAAGTGTTAAAAAGCAAAGATTAATTTTGAGCCACTTTGGGGACTAAGGTGTGACTGACACAAGCCATGGTATTTTCAATCACGTCATAGGTATGCAAAAGCTGGACAACAAAAAAGAAGGCTGAAGAAGAATTGACACATTGAAATTGTGCTGTTGGTGAAGAATACTGAATATACCATGGACTGCCAGAAGAACAAACAAATCTGTCTTGGAGGAAGTACAACAAGAATGCTCCTTAGAAGCAGGGATGGCAAGATTACATTCATCTCACTTACATCGGACATGTCACCAGAAGGAAATAACAACTGGATAAAGACATCATGCTTTGAAAAATGGAGGGTCACCAAAAAAGAGGGAGACCCTCTATGAGATGGATTGACACAGTAGCTTCAACAATGGGCTAAAACATAGCAAAGACTGTAAAGATGGTGCAAGAAGAGGCAACATTTTGTTCATTATACATAAAGTCACTATGAGTCAGAGCTGACTTAACAGCACCTAACAACAACACCACACTGAAGACATTGGTAAAAAACAAGGCTTCAGGAATTGATGGAATACCAACTGAGATGTTTCAACAAATGAATGAAACTCTTGAAGCGATCACTCGTCTATGCCAAGAAATTTGGAAGACAGCTACTTGGCCAACCAGCTGGAAGCAATCCATATTTGCACCTATTCCAAAGAAAGGAGAAGGCAGAAATTATCAACCAATATCATTAATATCACACACAAGTAAAAGTTTGCTGAAGATAATTCAAAAACGATTGCAGCAGTATATTAACATGGAACTGCCAGAAATTCAAGCTGGATTCAGAAGAGGACGTGGAACGAGGGATATCATTGCTGATGTCAGATGGGTCTTGGCTAAAAGCAGAGAACGTCAGAAAAATGTTTACCTGTGTTTTATTGACTATGCAAAGACATTTGACTGTGAGGATCACAACAAATTAAGGATAACATTGCAAATAATGGGAATGCCAGAACACTTAATTGTGCTCATGTAAAACCTCTACATAGACCAAAAGGTAATTGTTTAAACAGAACAAGAGGTTACTGCACGGTTTAAAGTCAGAAAAGGTGTGTGTCAGGGTCATATGTTTTCACTATACTTATTCAATCTGTATGCTGGGCAAATAATCTGAGCAGCTGGACTATATGAATAACATAGTATCAGGATAGGAGGAAGACTAATTAACAACCTACAATGCGCAGATGACACAACCTTGCTTGCTGAAAGCAAAGAGGACTTGAAGCACTTACGGATGAAGATCAAAGACTACAGCCTTCAGTATGGATTATATCTCAACATAAAGAAAACAAAAATCTTCACAACTGGATCAATAAGCAACATCAGGATAAATGGAGAAAAGATTGAAGTTGTCAAGGATGTCAGTTTACTTGGATCCACAATCATTGCCCATGGAAGTAGAAGTCAAGAAATCAAATGACGTATTGCATTGGGCAAATCTGCTGCAAAAGACCTCTTTAAAGTGTTGAAACATGAGGATGTCACTTTGAGGACTAAGGTGCTCCTGACCCAAGCCATGGTATTTTCAATCGCCTCATATGCATGAGAAAGCTGGACAATGAATAAGGAAGACCAAAGAAAACTGATGCCTTTGAATTATGCTGTTGGTGTAGAATACTGAATATACCATGGACTTCCAGAAGAATGAACAAATCTGTCTTGGAAGAAGTACAGCCAGAATGTTCCTTAGAAGCGAGGATGACGAGACTACATCTCATACACTTTGGACATGTTATCAGAAGGGACCAGTCCCCGGAGAAGGACATCATGCTTGGTAAAGTAGAGGGTCAGCAAAAAAGAGGAAAACCTCAATAGGATGGATTGACACAGTGGCTGCAACAATAGGCTCAAACATAGCAATGATTTTAATGGCACAGGACCAGGCAGTGTGTTGTTCTGTTGCACATAGGGTCTCTATGAGTCAGAAACAACTCAAAGGCATGAAACAACAACAACAAGAAATAAGGTGACTATTTTCATTTCTTTTATTTCAAGACAGTTCTGAGAACAGAAAACAAGTCCTTATACTTTCATATTTCAGTTTAAACCCAGTCACTACCTTCCCTTTGCCAAAAATGTATGGAAATAGGCTGATCATGCATTCAAATACGGTCTGTAAAGAGTGTAGCACAATGTCTAACCCATAGTAACTGCTGACACCTGGCAGTGGTGGTGATAGTAATAGTGGTGATGGTGGAAATAGTGGTAATGATGATGGTGGTGATAGTGATGGTGATGATGATGGTGGTGATTGTGACAGTGGAAATGATGTTGCTGGTGGGGCTGGTGATGGTGGTAGTGATGATGTTGATGGTGGTGAAGGTGACAGTGATGTTTACCAGGGAAAGACAAAGTTCTTTGGAGCAGAGTGTAAGTACCAGGCCTGAGTGGGACACAGTAAAGAAGACGCCTCTGCAAATTCATCAGCTTAAGAGTCACCTGAATCTCCTTCTTGGTAACTTCACCTTGGATGGGAAACTGTCCATCACAAATGGGTCCAGTCACTTATTAACAGCTGGAGCAAAAGTGTTCTTGACATGCATGCCTCTGGTTCTAAGAGACTACCATGAACAAGAAGGACATAGAAAGGGGAGAGGGAGTAAGAAAGAGTAGAGAGAATGAGGCCAAGGGGAAAGAGTGTGAGAGAGAACAGAGAATAGAAATAAGCTATGTCCACAGGAGTATCCCAGGCTCATTTTCATCTGCTTTGAGAAGGTCCCTGTCTTCTGGCATGTCAGTTCCAGGCCTGTCTCTCCTTCCTGGGAAGATTAAGGAGTTTCTGTTGAATAGTTGGGTAGGGGCTCCAGTAACAGGTGTAGGAGTGAGAAGGGGGCTGCTGCAATCTACTGGCAATTGCTCTGTTCAGTCATACCCTAGTGTCCCCAGGTAGCCCAGGTAGCAAGGACAGAGCCTAGAAGATAGAGCTCTCCGGAGGCCAAAATAATACTCAGGAAATGTTTACTTTGAAAGGCTCCTTCTTTCAAGGTAGATCCTAAGTCCGACCCTCCAGCCACCTTCAAAACACGTAGCCACTCCTGGTAAGGCTGAAATAAGCTACAAGGAGAAGGTCTGGTCATCAGCAGGCAAATCCTCCCCTCTGGTGGTCATTGTGGTCAAGGGGAGGATGCAGGACCAAATCTTACATTCTCTCCAAACTTATATATTCAACACAGACATTAGAGACCAGGATTTTGCAGGGCAGGCACTGGAATTGCCTTAAAGTCTTGTTATTTACGTGCCACCTTTGAGAATTCTCTGTTTGATGTTTTCATCTTTATATTTGATATTTCAGCATATAACCTTCTCCTTTATTGTGTAGGGGTGAATGCCTCCATGCAAGTATCTTCCCTCCCTATTTCTCCTCAGACACCCTCTATCTCTCTGAACCCTAAAGGCTGCCATTCCGCCACCTTCCCTGCCAGCTTTGGCACAGCCCTGTGGTTCCCCTCAGACACCCTACATGCCATGGGTTGCAGATTCTGGGTTCCTTTAATCAGTGCTTTTTATTTCCTTAAATGGGAATTAAAAATAGCCACCATTTTGTTTTTCAAGTAACATTGCCAAAGAAAAAATCTACTATCACTATTTCATAATAGAAAGACATTTTGTTGCTGCCCCAAATTAAGAGCATCTTCAAAATGAATGAGACACCTTACCTTTATGCCAAACTAATGAAAACACAGACCCCTTTAGGTTGGAATTCATTAAAGTGGAGGCCTACTGTCCTACACCTCTTGCTTTTTCAAGGATCTCTGAGTACAGATCTCTATTCTACCCCCAGCCCCATACCACTACAACCTACTCATCCTCTAGTCTCCAGATCAGTAATGGCCACACCATTCACTCAAGCCTGGGCTAATTTTTTGTTCTCTCCTCCCCATCAACACCCAAACCTAAGCCATCAGCAAATCCTGTCTCTTCCACCTCTTACAAGTATCTTGAGTCTTTTTATCTCTCCATCTTACTGCTACAACATTAGCTCAAGTCATCGTCCTGGACCACTTTTTCTCTTTACTTTTGTCCATGCTTCCATTCTTGCTGACTTGAATCTGTTCTCCTCATCACGGCCATGCTTGTTTTTTAACAGTATATAAAGTATCATGTTATGTCCCTGTGAAACTTTTTAAAGACTTCACGTTACATTTTAAATAAAATGTAAACTCCTTGCCAGGGCATATAAGGTAGGTAATGAACTGATGTCTGCACATCTAGCAAACCTAATCTCCTTTAATTACCCTTCAACCCTGTTCCTCACACCCCAGCCCTGCTTCCCTCCAGTTAGGAGCTCTACTAGGTTAAGATACTTCCTGCCTCATGGTCTTACCTGTTTTTTGCCAGAAACACCCCTCTCCTTGAGTTTCTGTTGCTGGCTCTTTCTCTTTCTTCAGACTTCAGCTGAAGCATCACATTCACAAAATGATCGTTCCTGATCTTTCTTTCTTTCTACGTAGGATATTAGTTGACTCTAAACTTCTTGATCACAATACTGCATTTATCTCATTCTCTAGGATGTGTTCATGCCTAGAACAGCCCCTGGAATATGAAGCATACTCAGTATATATATTGGATACATCCTGGATATACCAGAGACTTTCCCAGTATGGCTAAGATATCCCAGTATAGACATCTTGCTGGCAGCATCCATGAAGTTATGATGACTCTAAGACTATTTGCTAGAACTGACATTTTCAATTGCAGGATCCTAGATTATCTTTAGACTTTCTGAAAAATAACAAAAGTTTCTAATCAATATACAAAGCAATTTTAGGGAGGTAAAAAAGGCCCAGGAGAGGGTGGCTTAAAGTACAGGGTGTCCCAGAGGTGAAGTCCTGGGACCTAACTAGCAGACCATCCACCACCAGGACTTGGTACACTCAGCTGAGTGCTCCTGTGTGCCAAGGACCTCACACATTTAGCAATTTTTCTTCACAACTCCCTGAATAGTTAAGTGTACTTTTGCCAATAAAGAAATAATTTTCGACATATAGTAGGCACACCATAATTTTTTTGACAAAATGAATGGATATAACCTGATACCCACCTTTAATAGGGAGAATTCACTGGAGATTTTCAAGTTCTGAAGAAAAATGTTACAAAGACGTGGCTCAAAAGTGATAACATCACAGGTTTTGGATTTTGGTGGGCCTGCACTAAAATTCTGACCTTGTAAATGGCATCTCTGAAAAACCCACAACTAACATCATACTCAGTGAAGAAAGACTAAAATCTTTCTTATTAAGATCAGGAACAAGACAAGGATGCCCACTGTCAGCACTGCTATTTGACATCGTTTTGTAAGTCATAGCCATAGAAATTAGGCTAGGGAAAAAAAGAAAAACGTATCCAAACTGGGAAGGAGGAAGTAAAACTATCTATTTCCACAGATGACACGATCCCATACATAGAAAACTTCAAAGAATCTACAAGAAAACTATTAGAATTACTAAATGAATCAGCAAAGTAGTAGAGAACAAGGTCAACACACAAAAATCATTTGGGTTTCTATACATCAGAAATGAGCAAGCTGAAAAGGAAATTATGGAAACACTACTTTTTACAATAGCATCTAAAAGAAAAAAGTACCTATGGATAAATTTAACCAGGAAGATAAAATACTTGTACACAGAAAAATATTTTAAAAATTACTAAAGGAAATTAAAGAAGACCTAAATGAATGGAAGGATGTCCATGTTTGTGAATTGGAAGGCTTAATATAGTTAAGAGGTCAATACTACTCAAAGCAATCTATAAATTCATTGCAATTCCCACCAAATTTCCAACAGCCTTCTTTACAGAAAAGCCAATCCCCAAATTTACATGGTAGGGCAAGGTACCCTGAATAACTAAGGCAATCTTGAATAAGAATAAAGTAGGAGGACTCACACTTCCTAAATTCAAAACATACTATAAAGTCACAGAAATTAAAATAGGCTGGTACTGGTATAACAGATATATAGACCAATGGAATAGAATTGAGAGTCAAGAAATAAATCTATAAATCTATGGTCAACTGATTTTCAATAAGGGTGCTAAGTCCATTCACTGGAGAAAGAGAGTCTCTTCAATAAATGGTGCTGGTAAAATGAGATTTCCACATGCAAAAGAATGAAACAGATCTATGCCTCACACCATACAAAAAATTAATTCAAAATGGATCAAAGACCTAAATATAAAGCCAAAAACTATAAAAATCATGGAAGAAAAAATAGGATCAATGCTAGAGGCCCTAATATATAGCAGTAACAGGATACAAACCATAACTAACAACACACAAAATCCAGAAGAAAAGCTAGATAATTGGGACCTTCTAAAAATTAAACACTTAAACGCTCATCAAAAGACTTCACCAAAGAGTAAAAAGAGAACCTACAAACTGGGAAAAAAATTTTGGCTATGAGAAATCCCACAAAGTTCTAATCTCTAAAATCTACAGGAAAATCCAACATCTCTACAACAAAAAGACAAATTATCCAATTTAAAAATGGGCAAAGGAAATGAACAGACACTTCATCAAAGAAGACATTCAAGCAGCTAACAGACACATGAGAAAATGCTCCAATCACTAACCATTAAAGAAATGCAAATCAAAACCACTATGAGATACCATCTCACACCAGCATTACTAGGACGAATCAAAAAAACAGAAAATGACAGATGTTAGAGAGGCTGTAGGAAGATTGGAACTCTTACGCCGTGCTGGTGGGAATGCAAAATGGCACAACCATTTTGGAAAACGATATGGTGCTTCCTTAGAAAGCTAGAAAGAGAAATACCATATGATCCAGCAATCTCACTCCTAGGAATAGATCCTAGAGAAATAAGAGTTGTCAGCGAATAGACATATGCATACCCATGTTCACTGCAGTATTGTTCACAATAGCAAAAAGATGGAAACACCCTAGGTACCCATCAACAAATGAATGGATAAACAAACTATGGTACATACACACAATGGACTACTATGCAAGGATAAGGAACAATGATGAATCTGCGAAGCATCTCACAACACGGATGAATCTGCAGAGCATTATGCTGAGTGAAATAAGTCAATCACAAAGGACAAATACTGTATGAGACCACTACTGTAAAAACTTGTGAAGGTTTACACACAAAATGAAACAGTCTTTGATGGTTACAAGGGAGGGGTGGGAATGGAAAAACACTGAGTAGACAATAGATAAGTGGTTTTAACTATGGTGAATGGTAAGACAGCACATAATACTGGAGAAGCCAGTACAACTTGTCCAAGGCAAGGTCGTGGATGCTCCATAGACACATCCAAACTCCCTAAGGGACCAAATAACTGGGCTGAGGGCTCTTGGGACCATGGGCTCGGGGCACATCCAGCTCAATTGGCATGACGTAGTTTATAAAGAAAATGTTCTACATTCTACATTGGTGAGTAGCATCTGGGGTCTTAAAAGCTTGTGAGTGGCCATCTAAGATACTCACTGGTGTCACCCTGTCTGGAGCAAGGGAGAATGAAGAAAACCAAAGACACAAAGGAAAGCTTGGCCCAAAGGATGGACCACAACTACCACAGCCTCCACCAGACTGAGTTCAGCACAACTAGATAGTGCCCAGCCACCACTACCAATTGTGCTGACTGGGATCACAATAGAGGGTCCCAGACAGAGCTGGAGAAAAACGTAGAACAAAATTTTAACTCACAAAAAAAAAACCAGACTTACTGGACAGAGACTGGAGAATCCCTGAGAGTATGGCCCCTGGACATACTTTTAGCTCAGTAATGAAGTCACTCTTGAGGTTCACCGTTCAGCCAAAGATCAGACAGCCCATAAAATAAAACAAGACTGAAGGGACACACCAGCACAGGGGCAAGGACTAAAAGGCAGGAGGAGATAGTAAACCTGGTAATAGGGAACCCAAGGTAGAGAAAGGGAGAGTGCTGACATGTCATGGGGTTGACCACCAACGTCACAAAATAATATGTGTACTAACTGTTTAATGAGAAGCTAGTTTGTTCTGTAAACTGCCATCTAAAGTAAAAAAGAAAATACGGGAGTGTGGCTGTAGTGCCTAGTTTTTAAAGATGGATTATCAGATATGAAAACAAAAGCACATGTAGCAAAAGACAAAATAGATAAATGAGATCTCATAAGAAATAAATACTTTTGTTCATCAAGAACTTTATCAAAAGAGTGAGAAGACAATCTACCTCTTGGGAAAATATTTTCAGGAACCATAGATAAGAGTCTTATATATATATATGCACATACACATACATACATACACACACACATATATATACATACATATATATTCATATATATATATAACTTCTACAACTAATAACGAAAAGACAAACAATCAAAAAATGGACAAAGGGCTTGAATAGACAGTTCACCAAAGAGGACACTCAAATGGCCAACAAGAACACCAAACCCATTGCCATCGAGTTGATTCAACTCATTGTGACCCTAAAGGACAGAATAGAACAGGGTTTCCAAGGCTGTAAATCTTTACAGAAGGAGACTGCCACATCTTTTTCCTGTGAAGTGGCTGGTAAGGTTGAACTGCCAATGTTTTGGTTAGCCAGTGTGTGCTTTAACCACTGTGCCACCAGGACTCCTTTCATTAGCAGTTAGGGAGATGCATATCAAAACCACACTGAGATATCACCTCACCTCTATTAGAATGGCAATGATTAAAAAATGGAAAACAACAGGTGTTGGCAAGGTTATGGAGAAACTGGAACTTTACTCCATTGCTGGTGGAAATGGAAAATGGTGCAGTCACTGTGGAAAAACAGTTTGGTGATTCATTCAAATTAATATTTGAAGAAATAATAGCTAAAAACTTCCGAAATTTGATGAAAGACATGAATCTACACATTTAAGAAGCTCAATGAACTCCAAGTAGGATAAACACAAAGAGATTCACACCAAGACATATTATAATCAAACCGTCAAAAGACAAAGAGAGAATATTGAAAGTAGCAGGAGAGAAGTAACTTATTACACACAAGGATCCTCAATAAGACTAACAGCTGATTTCTCATCAGAGATCATAGAGTACGGAAAGTAGTGCAATGTCATATTTAAAGTGCTGAAACGAAAAAAAAGTCAATGAAGAATTCTATATCCAGCAAAACTGTATTTTAAAACTGAGTGAGAAGGCAGAGGGATGCAAGGACCATGGTCTCAGGGAACACCTAGCTCAATTGGCATAACACAGTTTATAGAGAAAATGTTCTACGTTCTACCTTGGTGAGTAGCATCTGGGGTCTTAAAAGCCTGTGAGCAGCCATCTAAGATACTCCACTAGTCTCACCCCTTCGGGAGCAAGGAAGAATGAAGAAAACAAGATACAAGGGAAAGATTAGTCCAAAGGACTACTGGACCACAACTACCAATAGACTGAGTCCAGTACAACCAAATGCTGTCTGGCTACCATCACTGACTGCTTTGCTCAGGATCACAACAGACAGTCCCGGGCAGAGCTGGAGAAAAATGTAGAACAAAATTCTAACTCACAAAAAAAGACCAGACTTAGTAGTCTGACAGAGACTG